TGTCACATAGCCTGTCTGCAGTGCTAGTGATTGCTGTATTCCCTCGGGCCATTTTCAATTGCGTCATCCCTCTAACCTCTCATTAGTCGCTTTACAGGAAAAACATTAACAGTGAAATGTACACAAATACATCTGTATCCATTTATATCTTCCTCTACAGGAAGCAACCTTACTAGACATTCCTGCCTCTTTTGTGAATTCTGTTATTTAATGGTTGGTGGTTTTTTGTTTTTGTTTTTTTTTTTTTCTTTTAATGTCTTTTTTTTTCATCAGCTATACCCCATGCTATTATCAAAAAAAAAAAAAAAAAAAAAAAAAACTGACTAATTTCTCTAGTACCAGAGTCCTAAAGTCAGTTTTCTCAAGTGGCCCATACTTATCCATCTCCTTGTCTCCCTATTTGCTCCTTAAATCCATTGTTTTCTTTCCTAATATATGCAGTGATTCTCACTGAAATCACCAATGCCCCTGGCCCCTGCCTCACTAAACCTAATAGATCTTTGTTTCAGCTTTCTGGCAATACTGACAACAAAATTTAAAAACATCTAGGCATCCAAGACACAATAGTTTGCTTTCTTTGTGCTCTTCTGTAATGCTTTTGTGGGCTTCTCTTTATATATATTGGTTTTTCGAGACAGGGTTTCTCTGTGGCTTTTTGGAGGCTGTCCTGGAACTAGCGCTTGTAGAGCAGGCTGGTCTCGAACTCACAGAGATCCACCTCCCCAATGCTGGGGTTAAAGATGTGCACCACCACCCAGCTTGTGGGCATCTCTTAACTTTACCTGAGTTTTAAAAATTATTTTGTATGTATGGGTGTTTTACCTGCATGCAGTGTCTACCTGGTGTTAATCTTTTGCACCAATGTTAGGATAAAGCTGGGGGGGGGGGGGTCCTGTGTTAGGGGCCATGATGGATTCCATGGCATGCGAGGCAGGGAACAAACATGCCAGGCAGACAGAGCTTGAGAAGTTTTATTAGAAGGGAGGAGGGAGGTGTGAAAGGAAGAGAAAAGAGGTAAAGAGACAGTACAGAAGAGGAAAACAGGAGTAGAAAGAGCAAAGAACGTTAAGTGGACCTTTACAGCTGCATGCAGATAGTACTCACGGAACACTGGGCTGACCAGAGCAGTGCCTGAGTGCATTCTGCCAGGTGACACTGCATGCAGATAGTATTCACGGAACACTGGGCTGACCAGAGCAGTGCCTGAGTGCATTCTGCCAGGTGACGGGCAGGCCAGCATAGTGCCTGAATCCTTACACCTGGTAGTGCTCCCTGGGACTTGAACCCAGGTCCTCTAGAAGAGCAGACAGTGTTCTTAACCACTGAGCCATCTCTTCAGCCCTCCTAATTTTCTAATGTCACAATCTTTGTTTCATTCTTTTAAATCTTCAATTAGCATTGCAAAAGCCATTGATCTCTGGGTGTGTATTTCCCAATTCCAGCCAAATCTTATTTGCAATTTTCACCAAGTGAGCTGAGAAAATTTAAGTCCAGCTCAAACTTTTCCTAAATTCTTTATAATTTTTGCCACCTTCCCACTCGCCCAAACCAGAAAGTTGGGCAGTCTTAAGAGTCTTACCACCGTCTCTTAAGTCCTCGGTCTAGTAAGTCCCAAGAATATAATTAATCTAAATAATTGCTGGAGCTTCTGTCTCAGTGCTGAGGACTTACTTTCTAGGGGTTATTTTCTCTCATTTGTTCAAGAACCACCTACTGAGCTTTTTCTATCCTTGCTGCCCACAATCCATTCTCCATCAGCATCAGCAATTCCAGGAATCTTTCAAAAACCCATGTAATCTCCTGTAGTAGAAATTCCATTCAGGTCTCAGACTTTGGAGGGGGAAAGGGCAGGGGTGGAAAACAACTGCAATGTATAAAACATGCTGTCAGGGGTCATTAAGAAATAAAACCGGCCAGGCAGTGGTGGGCCCGCTTTAATCCCAGCACTTGGGAGGCAGAAGCAGGCAGATCTCTTGAGTTCGAGGTCAGCCTGTTCTACATAGCGGGTTTCAGGACAGACTAAACTTACACGGAGTAACCCTATCTCAAAAAACAAAACAAAAAATCACATAAGTAAGATTGGGAACATTTTGCATTTCAGTGTTTTTTTTCAAATGGTTGAGTTAGGGTTCCCCCCACCTAACCCTTTGATGCTGTTATCTTTGCTTAAATCTCTTGCACTAAACAAATATACTTATTAAATCTTATTTTCTTTTTTTAAAGAAAATAGTTGCCTAGATATATTCTTAATAATTTAGAATCAGAAAATTTCCTTAAATCTTGCTCCATCCATAGTGATCTGGCCCCAGTGCTTCCGGCTTCCTTCCTCCCTACAAGCTTCAGCCCCTTTAAGGGAAATCATCCTTCTCTTGGACTGCTCGGATTCTTAACACAGAACCGTCACCTTTGCTTGTACTTAGCAAGCACCTATTTAAAACTCCAGATTTCAAGCTAAAGTCATGGATTGTGTCCCTGCGGATGCTTTGCCCACTTTGCTCTGGGCTCGTGGTCATACTGGGGGCGCTATAAGGCAGCCCACGGAGGTCTGCTTTACGGTGTCTGGAGTGTTGTGGACACTTTGTCTAAAATCTGGACGACTATTTCTGTGGGCAACAGATAAGAAGTTAATTGTTGGGCGGAGGAGAGGGGAGGGCGGAAGCCAGGCGGTGGTGACACACACGTTTAATCCCCAGACTCGGGAGTTCGAGGAAAGCCAGGGCTGCAGAGGAATCCTGTCTAAAAACAAAACAAAACAAAGCCCTTCAGATTTCATGGAAATATCTTCTCAGTCCACTATATGGTGTCACAGGTGGCTGAACTTATTTAACATTAGGGACACCCACAACTAATGAAATGATTGTTTTGTCTTTCCAGTTCAATCCCCACCCCGACTCCCAGCGAACCGGGCTAATCCGCCCCTGACATTGCTGACGCAGCAGGCTGCCGGCACACGTGTAAAAGCAATCATGGATTAAGAATCAGAAGAATTCCCTGGCACGTCTTAAAACAAGCAGTCTGCACCTTCACTCTTAAAAACTCAATCACTCCGCTAAAACCCGCCCTTGCATTAGCGTCTGCTGCAGGGGGAGAAGGGTGGCCCACGCTTCCGCGGGAGGACGGAGCACCCAGTAGGTGGCGAGCAGAGCCCGGCCGGAAAGACCCGCCTCTTCCGGTCCCGCCCTTTGCAGTGAGGCGGGACTTCCTGCCCTGCCTCGCTCCTTCCGGAGACGGCCCTTTGTTGACGCGGGAGGTTCAAACTGCTACCTCCGCGTCTGGTTTTGTTTGTGTTGCTCGGTTTGGTTTGGTTTGTTCGTCGTGACCGTGTCCCTGCAGTAACCCGGAGAAGCGGTTGCTCTCCTCTGGACGTGGAACTGCCGTGTGGGCGCCGGGTGTGGCGGTGGTCTGCAAGAGCGCGTGGGCCCGCCCGAGTCTCTGTCCCCGGGAACCAGACAACGATACTTTGAAGAGCGAGGTTTCCCAGTTCGTTATACCAGACATGATATGATGAATGGTAAGAATGCAAGCAGAAATAAAACAGTGCAGAGGAGGCCAAAACCCGGATTGGAACCTGATTACGGTGTCCTGTCGACGCGCCAAAAATTTTGAAGACTGCGCTCTCTTGTGTATGCTTGATTATTTAAATAATAACTTAAGTGAAGTTGTTATATGGGAGATGCAAAGGCAGTGATCCCATTTCACAGTCTAGGATCAGAAAATACAGACTCTTTCAATTATGTGTCAACACCTATTTTCTCTTGCAATACCAGCCAAAGTATATCTGTGTAGGTGTGTGTGTGTGTGTATGTGTGCACATGTATATATCTGCCTGCACCTATTGTCATCGTGTTTGTTTCTTGACATTTAGCAAGTATGTAAACAGGTGATGTAAGCATGGGACTTGTAGGAAGTTAACTGACAGGACTATAGACATACATTGGAGGAGAAACAGGAGAAAGATCTTAGTTGTAGGAATTGAGAGGTGACCTTTCCAACAAAAGGAGGTAAAGGGCCAAATTCAAGCAAGATTTTAAAACATCAGCAGAAAACTAGTTGCAGGAAGAAAGCATCGAGAAATGAGAGGTGTCATCAACTCATGTTGCAAAAACTCAAGGGTAAGAAGAACTTAAACATTCACTTTCTCATTATTTGATGAAAGTATACATTCTTTGCCTAATACTTTTAGGTCCCAGTGATACATGAGTAAGACGGGTGAGGGCCATTCTGTTTTTCCATCCTGGTAGGAGAAAACAAAGGCAAATGATCTTAATATTGACATCTATGAGAACAAAAGATAAAGTAGGATATGAATGTGTGGGGCAGTGAGCCTAGTTAATAAAGTGGGGCTTTTGTGCAAGTGTTATTTGTGTTGAGACCTTAATGCTGACAAAGAATTTGTGGTGTAATAAGCCAAGGAGAAGACAAGCTAGACAGAACATCACAAAGATTTTGAGATGGAAAATACTTTGTTTCAAGAACATTTTTTAAAAGCCAGTATTACTCAAGTGACCTGAACAAGGAAATTAGCACATGTGTGCTGTAACTTTGTTCTTGCTTTCCACGGTGAATTCCAGGGACACCACTCAGTCCATTGCGCCTGCATGGCAAGCACCTTCACATCCTGAATCATCACGCCTGCCCAAAATGCTGCATTTTTCTTACCAAGTATACCTGGTTTATCTGAAATGAGATCCTGAGCATATAATATACAAAAATTGAACTTAAGAAACAGTACACTTAGAAGGACATTTGTGCCTTTGGGAAGTGTCTTCTCCTTCCAGGTTGTGTTTTAACAGTGGAGTAACGTCGTGGGGGTTACTCAAGGCATTTTGTTAAGGAAGTTCATAGTTAGACCACCAAGGTGAGACCGCTGCTCTCCTACCAAGAGTGTGTGCGGTGGCCTTGTGGCGATGATGTGTCTAGCTTGGTGAAACTCTTGAGCACTGAGAAAAGTACTTGTGCTACCGGGTCCCTTTTCCTTTAGTCTGTGCGGCAGTGTGACCCACCCAGGCATAGACATGGCAGCTGAAGTCCGAATGGTTCTTTACGAAGATGACTCGGTGCAAGTGCAGTACGCTGATGGCTCCACACTGCAACTCTCTCCCTGCGGCTCGGAATTCCTATTTGAAAGGGCACCTCCTCTTTCAACACATCCGTTAGAGCAACCAGAGAGGATTCGTCAACGGACACACTTTGTCATTAGCACCTACCGAGTAAGCAATATCACCATACTCTTTTAATACAAAGAAGTTGCTGAAGCTGCTATGAAGGGTAACTAGGATTCTGGAGTTTTCTCATTCTAAACTTATTTCCAAATAATTTTATATTTTTTTTTTCTAGGAGCAACTACAGCGAGCCCTCGATTTTCGAAACTCTTCAGCTACGTGCCCTTTTTTATCTGAAAGCCTCATACCTCCTGAAAGAAAAAAGGTAATGTTTTGAAACCACATTTTTATAAGTAATATCTGATTACAAGTTAATTGTAAACAGTTAGTTTGATACTGTTGAGAAATTTCATTGGCTTACTTTTGGGGGCTGGAGAGATGACTCAGAGGTTAAGAGCACTGGCTGCTCTCCCAGGCGTCCCCTTCCTCCAGCCAGTCCTAGCGTAGCCCATTCATTTGTGAACTAATGAGTGGATTAATCCTCTGAGGAAGTCAGTGTCTTCATGATCCAGTCACCTCTCAGCAATGCCCCCGGCTGGAGACCACATGCTTGACACCTGCACCTTTGTGAAGGACACCTCATATCCAAACCTTAGCAGGCAGAGGAGCTATAAAGTGTTGTAAGTTGTAATTTATTCCACAGGGCTTCTCCCCCCCCCCCCCCCGCTGTCTTTGGAATAACTGTGTCATTAAAATGGTGTCATTTGCTCCGATGCTTCAGTGTGGGCACAGGGCAGTGGTCTCTCCTAGCTGTCTCTCCTTGCACAAGGTAACCATCGGTCACGTCCCCTGTGATGAGTACTCTGATATGCATGGCTCTGTAAAAAGGCTCTCTTGACAATGGATTTAGTAAAATGGTTAATAAAGATAGAAGCTGAAATGTTGAACTGTATTCAGTAGTTGATGAAAATACTGGTATGTACAGTACTGTTGACTCTTGTGTGAAAAGCAGATAGAGACTTAACTGGAGTCTGCTGTTTGGTAGGGTCAGTTTCCCTTTGAGTGTTTGAATTGTTTTAAATTACTTTTAAATCCACCTGGAATTTATTTTAGCCAGTGTTGTGCTGGGCACCTTCTAGAACAGGTACTTGTGGTTACTTTTTAGTTCATCTGATAATGCTGCATTTCACTAATGCTGTCTGGTAATTCTAGTACCACCTTAAAAAATAATTCTCTCTCTTTCCTGATGTTCCTCTGAAGGGACAGACAGACTGACAGACCTTTCCCTGTCTCTCTCTCTTCTCTCCCCCTCTCCTTTCCCTTCCTCCACTCCCTTCTCTTCCCCCAATAAAACTTCCCACTTAAAATAATAATTATTCTCCCCTTCTCCTAGCTCGTGTGACATTTTAAAGCACTGAATTCGTTCCTGTGTTCTCTGCATTGTTTTCTCAATGACTTCTTTACTATTTCCATCCCTTGTGAGCTCCATTTGCTCTTTTTTGCACAGCACACCACACAGCCCAGGTTCTCCTTCATCTCCCTCCTGTCTGTTCTTTTTCAGATTAGAGTTCTGGGGTGAGTGGTCTGAAAATCCACCTCTCCCTAACTCATTGAATATTTTTAATCATAGTAAGTTTAGCACTAATCAGGTGGTATCTACCTCTTTCTTCTCTCTCTCTCTCTCTCTCTCTCTCTCTCTCTCTCTCTCTCTCTCTCTCTCTCTTGTGTTTCTAAGAGAAATATTATTAACAACAATGTTGTCTGTAAAACCATATATCCCAGTTTTCATTTTCTAGGTAGTAAAAACACAAGTATATAAACCCTTTCTTACAAAATACTTTCAGTGTTAAAACTATGGGAAGAATGAACATTAACAGAAAATACTATGTTCTCTCTCTCTCCTCTCCCCCCCCCTTTCTCAATTCAGCATATCTTCATTGATTTCTCAGAAGTAAAATGGCCCAGTCTTGATAGAGATGGCAACATCACGTATTCAGAAAGTGGTGCTGTGAAGGTAACATCACTAGATGGATATGCATATCTTTGCCTGCCCAGATCTCAGCATGAATTTACAGTACACTTTTTGTGTCAAGTGAGCCAGAAGCCAGATTCATCTTTAATATCATCCAAAACAAATGGTCCAGTACCGAAAGATAAACTAGCTGGAAAGACCAGCAGAATGGGCACATGTGGAAGTTTATCAGGACGAAGATTAAAGAATAAAGAAAACGACTTTCTTTACCAGATGTTGAAATCTAAAGAAGCTTCAGAAAACACTTGTTGTGTGCATGGAGCTGAAGGGAGAGAGGAGCTGCCTTCCCCGGGCGCAAAGCACAGATGTGTATACACGTGGGTGAAGCAGTGTTGGTCCGTCGCCTCCTGTCCTGAGCAGTGGAAATACCCTTTGTCTTTAGCACTTCGTTTTTATAACCAAGTTAGTGCTGTGTCTAAAATTGATGTGGATTTCCCTGCGAGTGGAACTGTAACTTCTGACACTCCAGAAGAAAGTGGAAAGGAGATCTCTGTTCTTCCCAGGGCCTTGTTCCTCAGCTGCCCTGCCCCACACATGCACAGGTAAAGCAGGGGTGGCTTGTTGCTCAGAGCGATTTGGGGTGAGCCATCCTTAACTGAGCATGGCGTTCTAGATCGTCTGACACTTTTCTGATGGGTTGATTGGTTGATTTGGGGTTTTTGTTTTTGTTTTTTTTAACATATTGATTCCAGTTCCTTCTCCCTCTCTTCCACCCTCCCTCCGTGATTTTGGTTTTTTGAGACAAGGTCTCTCTTTGTCACCTTAGCTGGCCTTAGAACTCTCTGTGTGGATCAGGCTGGCCTCTAACTCATAGAAATCGTCCTCCTCTGCCTCCCAAAAGTGCCAGGATGAAAGGCATGAGTCAGCACCCTCAGTCCTATTTGTTACTATTGCTTTTTTTGTTGTGTTTTTTGAGACAGGGTTTCTCTGTGTAACAGTCCTGGCTGTTGTCCTGGAACTCTTTATAGACCAGGCTGGCCTCGAACTCACTATGATCCACCTGCCTCTGCTTCCCAAGTGCTAGCACTAAAGGCATATGCCACCACCACCCAGCATGTTACTATTCTTTTACAATTTTTAAAATTTATATTACAAACGGTCTCGTTTTACATGTCAGTCCCAGTTCCCTCTCCTCCCCTGCCCCTCATCGGCCCCCCTATCTCATCCTCTTTCTGCTCCCCAGGGAGGGTGAGGCCTTCCTAAGGGGAGTCTTCAAAGTCTGTCATATCATTTGGAGCAGGGCCTAGGCCCTCCCCCGTGTGTCTAGGCTGAGAGAGTATCCTTCTATATGGAATGGGCTCCCAAAGTCCATTTGTATGGCATATTACTATTCTTAAACTCATTTGATTGACTAAAATCTTGCATTTTAAAAGATAGTGTTCATGGCAATGTGAGGTGTCTAATGAAGGTCACTCTCCCTAAAAGGGTATTATTAAAGTGCAAAAGAGCGGGAGCCTGCTCAAGGCTCTTTGGGAGAAAGCCTAGAAGTGAGCCTCTGGTTGGTCACTAGAGCCCATAACCCGAAGGCTAGACCATTATCCCAGAGGCCCATTATCCCAGAGGCTAGACCATGGACCTGCCCATTATCCCACAGGCTAGACCATGGACCTGCCCATTATCCCACAGGCTAGACCATGGACCTGCTCATGACCCCACAGTCTAGACCATGAACCTGCCCATGGCCCCACAGGCTAGACCATAGACCTGCCCATTATCCCACAGGCTAGACCATAGACCTGCCCATTATCCCACAGGCTAGACCATAGACCTGCCCATTATTCCACGGGCTAGACCATGGATCTGCCCATTATCTCACAGGCTAGACCATAGACCTGCCCATTATCCTACAGGCTAGACCATGGACCTGCCCATGACCCCACAGGCTAGACCATGGACCTGTCCCTGACCTACAGGCTAGACAATAGACCTGCCCCTGACCCACAGGCTAGACCATGAACCTGCCCATGACCCACAGGCTACCATGAACCTGCCCATTATCCCACAGGCATGGACCTGCCCCTGACCCCATAGGATAGACCATAGACCTGCCCCTGACCCATAGGCTAGACCATGGACCCAACAGTTTTGATTATGGTTTCTTTTGTTGCTATCAGTCCCAAAGGTTACCTGGTTTTTTTAGCTGACTGACTGACTATAAGTATGTTCTTTCTCAAAAGGGCTCAGTATATGAAGAGTCCTTCATGGCTAGGTCAAAAACTTAACTTCCATTCAAAGATGAGTAATAATTAAGCATGAACTATATATAAGTATTCCAGTCATTTTTGTGTATTCACTTTTACAAAGTACTTACAAAGTACTAGAACACTGTTCTAGTTATGCATTTGGTCTAGTGATCCTATTACAAGAAATCATTGTGATCCTTTTGTAGAGGAACTTAAGATCCAGAAATGATAAAGAACTCATACAAGTTACACCTCCAGCACTTGTGGAATTGAAATTTGATCCTAGGCCTTCTCTGAGTACACACTTTACTTAAAATAAAATATAGGAGTAACTCTTGGCCTTGCCATCATTATCTACTTAAAACTGGAAATTTCAAGATATGTGACAGAAGAGGCTTTATGCTTCTAAATTTAGTGTTTCTTTTACTGGATTTATGTGAAATCCATTTCCTTAACATAGCTGGTTTTCCATGATCTGGTTCCTCCTTCTCTGTAGTCCTCACCTCTGCTGTCATTGTCCTTGATTTCCCTGTGCTTGCTGAACTAATTGAGTGCTCACTCAGGCTCTGTCCCTACTGCCCCTGCCCCTGCGCCTGTGCCTGCGCCTGCACCTGCTCTACAGGAGTTTTGCCCTCCTCCCCGCCACCTCTTATCCTTGCCTCAGCTCAGGCCTCACTTTCTTGGAGTGGCTTCTCAAAGCTGTCGATAAGCTAGGTCCTTATTGGTGCCCACAGCACTCATTGCCTCTTCTCTCTCTAGACTTGGTGATCACTGTTTTACTACATTACCAGATGGGAAATCTCTACTGGGGACAGAAAACATACCTGCTTTGGGGGACATTAAATTCTCGGGGCATAGAGCATTAGGCCTAGCCTACTGTAGATATTTCAGTAAAGATTTGTTGTTTGAATTCAGGTTGAATTTTAAAGATTAGTAAAAATTTAAATGTATATCATACTGAGATCCATTAATGAGATTTCTGACAACTACTGAAAAGATGTATGGCAAAGTAGGACTTGCTTTTAAATTTCTCTAATGCACACACACAGAGAGAGAGAGAGACAGAGACAGAGAGAGAGTTAGGCAAGAAATAAGCATGGTGGTACTGTTTTATTGACTTTTAATGACAATTGTTTTGAACAACCAAAATTAATACTCATATATTACCCTTCACAGGTGGAACTTCTGTGACTCACTGTTACAAACACAGTCTGATGAAGAGTATTCCTATCCTGAGCTTGTGAAGGTGGTGTGGAGTAAGGGTGTCACATACAGGTCAGGCTCTTGTGTGTGGTATAAGGGTGTTAGATACAGGTCAGGCTCTTGTGTGTGATGCAGGGTGTTACATACAGGTCAGGCTCTTGTGTGTGATGCAGGGTGTTACATACAGGTCAGGCTCCTATATGTGATATTCAACTTCTGTGCATAGACTTTGCTTTGGTGACTCTTTATGTATGTATCAGTCCCTATGGTTGGTACTGGGGATGTGAAGACAGGATTCTCTGAATTCTAGAAGCTCTGAGCTTAGCTGTTGAAATAAACATATAAGATACATTAGTCTTGATTTTAATAAAATGAGTATTTCTCTACTTTAGGCTTACCCATAGAAATGTAAACTCGATAGAGATTTATCCTGGGGATGGATCGGTTTTCAAGTCAGAAGGAACTTATTTCGGTAGCTATTTTACTCATCATTCAAGTCAAGAAGAATCAGAAAAGGTAAGCTAACTATGAAAATTCAAAGGTTTTGATTAAAATTTCTTTCTAAGATAGATAGATATAGATAGACGGATAGGTAGATAGATAGAAAGATTAGATAGATGAAAAAGTTGCTGTTTTATGTAACGTTACTTCCCACTTCTCACCATGGAATTAATGTAATCTTACTGTCAGCATTGACATCTAGTGAATTATCAATCACTTTTTCGATTTTTTTTTTTTTTTTTTTTTTTTTTTTTTGAGACAGGGTTTCTCTGTACTGCTTTGGAGTCTGTCCTGGAACTAGCTCTGTAGACCAGGCTGGATTCGAACTTACAGAGATCCACCTGCCTCTGCCTCCCGAGTGCTGGCATTAAAGGCGTTTACCACCAACGCCCAGCTCAATCACTTTATTTTTACTGTAGTCACACCCACTGTTATCCATTAACATCCTAAACAGTTTGTTTAAATCAGAAGCTAAATTCTTCTGTCACAGAATTTGTCGATTTAAAATGCTAAAAGCCCAGAGCATTACTTTTGAGTCATTATATTACTTTTAATTAATATTTACAAAAAATGTGTGTGTTGGGGGCTAGGTAGATGGTACTGTGGGTAAAATGTTTGCCTCATAAGCATGAGGCCCTGAGTTGAGATCCCTAGCACCCACATAAGAAATGACACAGTAGCGTGCATCTGCCCTCTACCAGAAAGGCATCATAAAAATACCATGAAAATATGTAGGTTTTATGGGCTTTAGAGTATTAAAATAATTGCTTTCTTTGTTGGTATATGTATATATATGCATACACACACACACATTTCAAGGCAAAAATAGTTAAGTAATAAGGGCTAGATTTATTGTTGTGATTGTTTGTTTAAACTTTCAGAGAGAAGAGAAAACTTATTCCGTAAATAACCTCCCTCCAGACAGACCTGGAAGCATCTTCTCTGTACGTTCTCTGATTAAGCAAGCAATGAGGTGAGTTCGTGATGTTCAGCTTAGCAGAAAAATCATGTATCTCAATACCTTGATGTGTTTCTTATGGTTAAGGCTGGGACTCAGTGGGTACAATGGAATTATGTGTCTATTTTTCTGATCTGGTAATTTAAAAAGTAATCCATAGCATTACAGGAGTATTTCTGGCTTTGAAATTTAAGTCTGGATAAACAGGAAGTGAGCAGTTCCTGAGAAGGACTACAGTGCTATTTCTCTCAACAAGTGTAGCATCCCTATGGTTGCCTTAATTAAGTTGGGGATTTGAGGGAACATTTGAAATTTTCCCACTTTCTTATTTTCACAGTAATAAAGTTTTATGAGAGTGTACTAAAGATTAAAGTGTTGGTTGGTTCTTTTATTAATCTACAGCACCTAGAAAAAATGAAACACAATGTTGAATTAAATAATGTGTTTTATGAAGTTATCTGTAAACAATTTCCAAAATAGATTAGCAGGCTCGGAAATTATTATTTGATTTCCTACACATAGCTAACTGCTTCTCTATGCTAAACCTCTTGGGCAGGTGACTCTGTCACCTCTTTAGAACATCTGAAAGCAAGAAGGCTCAGCAAGGAAGGCGCTTGCTGCGCAAGCCCAGCAGCCTGGGCTTTCGGCCTGTTGAAGCCACAAAGTGGAAGGAGAACCAAATCCAGAGTTGCCCTCTGGTCTTGACACACATGCCATGGCACACGTGACTGCTCACTTGCACACGTGAGTGCACAGACACACAGCAAATAACTAATTAATTTAAACAGTTTTAAAGGAGCCCCTGAGCATCATGCATGGAGTTCCTCAGCTAGCAAGATAGGGCAGGGGGGAAAGATGGTAGCCCCATGTAGGAACTTAACACTTTCTGGGAAAGTGAGTGGCCACAGTCATCAGCTGTTATATGGCATTCAGGATGTTGAAAACACATTTCATCACAGAACCAGATGTTTGCAAATAGAGAAACTATCATTATTTGCAGACACTTAGCGAATGTTTTTCGTGCCCACAGAATTCTTCATCACTGTGCCAAGACGAGGCTGTCACTGAGCCACAACTATCATGTCTGCTGCTGGAAAACGGTACGTGCTGAAAGCAAGGCCGTTAGTTGTTTGGATTCTTACTTGTTCATTCAAATTGCTTTCATCTAAATCATGAGAAATTCTTGGTAACATTCAAACTTGTTTATATATTCAAGAGAATATCTACCTTGAGCCAGGTGTGGTAGCACGAACCTTTAATCCTATCACTAGGAGTCTGGAAGGCAGAGAGAGGTGGGCTAACATGGTCTACAGAGAGTTCCAGAGTAGCCAGGGGTACACAGAGAAACCCTGACTTAGAGTTTCTATTGCTATGATGAAACACCATGACCAAAGGCAACGTGAGGGGGAAGTTTGTTTCACTCACAGCTCCATATAACAGCTCTTCATCAAAAGCAGTGAGGGCAGGAGCTCAAGCAGGACAGGATTGTGGAGGCAGAGCTGATGCAGAGGCCATGGAAAAGTGCTGCTTCCTTACTGGCTTGCTCCCCATGGCCTGCTCAGCCTGCTTTCTTAAAGAACCCCGGGACCACCTGCCCAGGGTGGAAACACCCACAATGGGCTGGGTCCTCCCCCATCAGTCATTAATTATGAAAATGCAGAACCTATGCTTGTGTCAAGTTGCCATAAAACCAGCCAGCACAAACCCTGTCTCAGAAAACTTGAGAGAGAGAAAGAGAGGGAGAGAAAGGAGAGAGAGAGAGAGAGGGAGAGAGAGAGAAAGAGAAAGAGAATACCTACCTCATAGACAGTGGAAAATCAGTCTTTTTTTAAGCTCAAGGCATACTGTTCAGATACTCTTTGTCACTTAGGCACAGCCCTTGCCCCTGTGTTTTACTTTTGATATCACATATACCTTATTGTATGTAATCTCTCACCATGTTGGGATTCAAACCTGGGCTCAGAGCACCCCAATCACGCACTCTTTGTCACAAAGCTATACCAACCCATTTCTATTTTTCTTTGGCATTTTGATGCAGAATCTAGCTAGGTAGACCTGGCTGGCCCTTGAGCTTACTACATAGCCCAAGCTACCTTCAGACTTGAACTCCTCCTGCCTCAGCCTGCCAAGTGCTAAAATTATAAATGTATGTAAGCTACCATATCCAGTTGTTTGTTTTAATAGAGGAGAGGTGGGAATTGATTGAATTTGAGTTATGTAAAAGCACTATCAATACAAACTATGATAGTGTCATATTTTAATTTTGTAAATGTAGATTTACTAATCCTGGCTTAGCGGAAATGATTCTTAGACGTTAATTTGGGGATCCATATTCATTTGATTGTAAACTTATATGCTCTTATAATTTAGTTTTTGCCTATGTAAAGTTCATAGCAGATGGTAGCTTTCAGCGACATTAGAACTTAATCTTAAGTAGACAGTTTTAGACGTATAACTCTTGAAAAGTTAAAATATGAACAAGAGTTCTCTAGCAGTCAACTTCTGACTAAAAATCTTGAGTTACTTCAAAGTTCATTAATAATTATTTAACCTTCTTCATAGAAGATTCTGCCTTGTGCTATCTATTTACTTGGTTTTAGGTACCTGGAGTAAATGTTAACAATACCCTGCCCGTGCTTCTGAAGGAATCACTCATACCCAGTGTGGGGAGATTTCTTGCCTACTCTGATGACAAAGTTCACGCTGTCTTTGTAGATGGCGTCACTCTAACGCTGAATTGGAATTTTAGCTCAACTGAAAAAAGACAAGTGAGTATTCTTAACACTGGTGGTTGTCAATCTTCCTAATGCTGTAATCCTCATATTGTGATGACCCTCAACCATAATACACTTTTGTTGCTTCTTCATAACTGTAATTTTGTTACTTTATCCCAAATTATCATTTTGTTGGGTTTTTTTATGTGTATATGTGTACCTGTGTAAGTTTATGTGCACCATGTGCTTTCAGGAGCTCTTGGGATCAAAAGAGGTCATCTGAGTCCCTAACATTGGAGTCATGGGCAGTTGTGAGCCACCATTTGGGTGCTAGAGTCCTGTCAAGAGACTTTATTGATCTCAGTGAATTTCCTAGCAAAAATCAGAAAAGTATAACAGTTATTTTATGTAAATAAAAAAGCACATTACAGCAAGGTCGAATTCCAGGACAGGCTCCAAAGCTACACAAGAAACCCTGTCTCAAAAACCCAAGGGAGGGCGGTGGAGGATTGGTGTTGTTTGTTTATTTTTAATAGGTATTTATTTTATACATCTACACATAAGAGCCTACATGCCAGAAGAGGAGAGCATCAGACCTCATTATAGAAGGTTGTGAGCCACCAAATGGTTGCTGGGAATTGAACTCAGGACCTCTGTAAGGGCAGCCAGTGTTCTTTACCAATGAGCCATCTCTCCAGCCCAAGGATTGGCATTTGTATTCTCTGGTAATTATCTGTGTGGGTGATGACTTATACCCACAACCTATTCAAGTACAGTCTTTCAAACTAAATGTGTAATGATTCATCCACTCCTTTGTTTTTTGTTGTTGCTAATGTTATAGTGTTTAGTTTTAGAATGATAAAACTTGCCTTTTCCTTTTCCTTCTTCAGGTAAATGAAGGTCTCAACTTGAGTTGGTGCAGATTAATGTTTCCTGGTGGACAGGAGCAGTTAATTCAGACTGAGCATCCAGGAGCATATGACAGGTATGGAAGAGCAATTTTATTTTCATATTTCAACTGATAGAGTATAAATATAACTTAAATGTTATGTGTATTTTTAGTTTTTCCAGATTTCAGAGTTTTCAGTTACACTGAAATTTAATATAGTGGAACATATCAAGTCAGCTTTAAACATTTGTTTGCATCCAAGTGATTTTTCAAAATAATGTTTCAAACATGGCTGACTGGCTGGGAAGAGTATGTATGACCAATTGTGTTAGCAGGCTTTTCTAATTCCTTGACGGAATTGAAAGACAGGTAGTTTACAAATGACTGTAAGTGACCAAAATTGTATGTATTTCTGTGAAATAAAAACATTAGAACTAGCTGATGGAAATTCTTAAGTGGGAAGGTGCTTAGTTTTTAAGAATATAACTTTTCTGTTGATGCAATTCACAATTGGTTGTGGCTCTACATGTAGTCTTGACATTATAGCAGGGTTACCTGTCAGTGCCCACAGAACCATTTACTTAACATCTTGAATTTATTTTTCTGTTGGATGGTCTTGTTTTGATCTAAATGCTCCAACATTCAGTTGCTATTTTAAACAATTTATCTCAAATAGATACTATACTACCTTTGGCAAATGTTTTAATGATTTGTTCCATCCTGTCACTTCAGATCATTTAATTTATTAAACTTGTCTTTGCTGCTCATTAAGCTACATTTCATCATATGCATGTGTGTATATTTTGTTTATTCATGTATATGCTCCAATGGGCATTCCCAGGTTTAAATTTTAGTAGGCAAATGTTTGCATAGACTCTGTAAAGGTAAGTGGCAGGCAAGCTTAAGAAATTTCACTTTACTTTGAAAAACTAAAAAGAAAGAGTTATACATGTAAATTTGAGCTTTAAATCAAGTGCAAGTATTCCTTTCTTGTTTTGATTTATGTTTTCTTTATATTGTGAATATAAATAAAATTAAAGGTTACCTCACCTATGTCTCATATATGATTTAGAAAATCTTACTGCCTCAGTTAAAATTTTTCTTTATCCTTTTTTTCCAAACTGTCTTACTGATTTTTTTTTTTTTTTCATTTCTTTTGTATTTATATATAGAAAGTCTACAATTTAAGGCTGGGAGTATAGCTAGGTAGTAGAGCATCTCCTCAGCATAGACAAGGGCCTGAGTTCCATCCCCAGCATATGGGGGTGGGAGGTTCAATAAAAATTTTAAAACAAGGTGTGGTGGCACACCCTGTAATTCTAATCCTTGTCATAAGGATTATAAATTCAAGGTTATCCTTAGCTACATAGTATGTTAGTATCAAAGTGTTTTTGTTTATTTTACTTTAATTTTTGTTATTGCACAAATTAATTATACCAATTAATGAGTTTCCCTATCAAGTGTTTTTAATGTATTCTTTTCAGATATGTGACAGCAGTAACATCGTGGTGCAGAGGCCTGACCCACACTAGTCCAAGACAGGTGCCCAAACAGCTGTCACCTGTTCGCAAAGAAAATTGGTATTTATATTTCTTGTAAAATTAGTATCAAGGTGTGACGGTTTGAATAAGGACAGCCCCCATAGGCTCATAAATGCTTAGTCACCAGAGAATGGCATTATTGGAAAGAGTATAAGGATTAGGCGGTGTGGCCTTGTTGGAGGAAGTATGTAACTAGGGGGTGGGCTTCAAGGTTTCTAAAGCCCATGCCAGGCCCAGCTTCTTCCTCTGTGGACCAGGATGTAGCACTCAGCTTCTGCTCCCTGCCCATGGCCCTGCCATGGCGACAACAGACTAGGCCTCCCGAAGCTTTAAGCAAGCCCCCAACTAAGTGCTTTCTTTTGTCAGACTTGGCCTTTGTCATGGTGTCTCGTCACAGCAGTAGGACAGTGACTAAGACACAAGAGCTGGCATGGTGATGGCTCAGTAGGTAAAGGCTCATAGTAGGGAAATACCATTCGTTGTTGGGTATACAGTAGGTAAAGGCTCATAGTAGGGAAATACCATTCGTTGTTGGGTATACAGTAGGTAAAGGCTCATAGTAGGGAAATACCATTCGTTGTTGGGAATACAGTAGGTAAAGGTGCATAGTAGGGAAATACCATTCGTTGTTGGGTATACAGTAGGTAAAGGCGCATAGTAGGAAATACTCTACTGCTGGGTTATACCACAGCCTAATGTATTAACCTTTTAAAAGGAAGTTTAATGTGACTTAGCATAATGTGGCAGAATCATACTCACACAGCCTGATTTATAGCCTTTGCCTGGGTGAATACGTGTTAGAATAAATCAAATGAAAACAGTCGATGTGACTTAGTGTGCCAAGCATCTCAGGATCGAACTTTGCAGATACAACTCTGACTCAGAGCAGGAAACTTGCTTAAAGCAGCTGGGAAGAAGGGAAATTGCATCTGATTATAAAACTGATCACTAATCACTGCTCAAGTGATAGCTGGTTTTGTTTTTTATTAAATGCCTCGTTTACATAAAAACTGAAAGAGGATTACTGTTGACAAATGAAGCTGGAACCAGGCAGTGGTGGTGCACACCTTTAATCCCAGCACTCGGGAGGCAGAGGCAAGTGGATCTCTGTGAGTTTGAGGCCAGCCAGCCAAGGGCAACATAATGAGACCAAAAAAAAAAAAAAAAAGGAGAGACAGAGAATGAAAGTAAAAGTGTCTTTTGGTGATAGATAGCACCTGTGGGTGAAAGCGGTGAGGAGCAGCTCTGATCACCACTCCCCTCCTCTCCCCCAACCCTGTCCTCTGTCTAGTCAAAGAGTGTAGTTTGAAGGAAGAGAAGCAATTGCACAATAAATAGCTCTCTAAATTATATTTCAGTGTTTTCCTACCTTGCCATCATTAGCTTTATTGATTCAACTTCTTAGTAACTTGAACAAAGCATTGTTTTTAGATAATGTCCTCACTCATTTTTCAGAGGTAGTCGTTAGAGAATTTTTATTCTAACTTGGTGAAGAAGACAAGATAGAACGTCCACATAAGGGGCTCTGCTAGAATTTTCTATCATCCCTCATATTTGTTGTCCTTGCCTTTTTCTGTCATATGTGGTAAGAGTTCATGCCCCAATGTCATCCTTTATCTTCCATAGGTCTGTTGCTTCTGAGCTTGAGAAAATACAGAAATTTAACTGTATCCTTTTAAGAGAATGTATTATCCTACAGAAATATTTCATTTCATTCTGAGCTTCATAATGACTGTACTTTATGACTGTTAGTCCATACATACATGTTGCCAAGTTTTGCTGAGTCAGATGCTATCTGAGATATTTTCTTGTTATAGATTGTTATGTTAATGTTTATCCTTTTATGTTTGAATTGGGTAAGGAATGATGAAGTAGGATTAAGATCTCTTTTGGAGACATTTTCTCTTATGTTATTATATAAATCATAGTTGCTGAAAATAGATCTGTAACTTTCATTGTGAAACTTTTCATCCATCTAAATTTGTTTTCTCTTCATTTTTCTGTAATCTTACTATTATGTGACTTTTCCTGGGGAGATACGATCCAACATTTATTCACCCCATATAGGTGACCAACAACAGACCAGAGGGACAGTTTTGCCCAAGTCCAGCATAGTGAACTGATGAGTTTACTGGGGTCACTTTCAGGAGTGTGGGTGTGAGGTGGAATTTACAGAAGCCAGATGACTCAAAGGCAGCCATGTCCTAACAGCTCAGGGTGGCTGACAGTTCACCTAGTCAGGGTTGCCTCTCCCCAACAGCTGCTCCTGTGGAGACCTTGGGAATTTGGTAACTCTTTAGAAGCTTCCTAAGCCTTGTAAGATTCATATACTTCCTGGGCAGTGTGCATTTGATCTACTTCTCAGCCCTGTGAGCTCCCTCCTCTATCTAGAAGGGACTGTTTCAGTTGGGAGCAAATAGTTATTCAACCTTACTCAAATAATAAACTAGTTGTGCAAGAGAAGGAAATTTGCCTTTTACTCTAGATTTTTAATTTAAAAAATGCACTACATTCATTATTCCTAACCCTATCATCCATCTCCTTTTCCCTTCTTATGTTAGTACATTAAGAAACGCTACTGAGATTTTCTTCTTTCCTACTAAACCCCCATCTCCTACTTTGCCACTAAACCTCCATCCAAACACACACAATTCCTCACTTTCTGTACACGATGACTGCTTTCCTTATCTGTAAGGGTGGCTTCCATAAACTCTGAAGTCCCAGTGTGATCATCAATTCAGTTGATAGTCCTTGCAACCAAGAAATATTTTTATACTGAAGCCAGGTTTTCTGAAAATCAGATTATGTAATGGAAAGTGTGGGGTAAGCTCCTTAACTCGTTAATGCAGGGCTCCTGGAAAACAGTGGTGTCCTGCACTTGACTTCTAGCGAGAAAAGCAAACAGTGCTCTGATGACTGCACATCAGAGTCTTCAGAAACCTTGCCAGAAGCAACTAATAAAGAGAGTGTGTTGGTAGCATTGAAAAGAACTTCTAAAATCCTTCAGGATATTGACTATCTCCTGTCAAACTCTAGAAAGTGAAGAGTGGAATTATTACAATACTAAGCCTTAAGGATGTTTCAAATTGCTAATATGAAATTGCTAGTAGCCCAAGGAATTGCAAATCTTACTTCTGTAGAACATACAGACTGGTTTAACTTTGTATTTTACCTAACTTGTAAATGATAGTGTGTGTGTGTGAGAGAGAGAGAGAGAGAGAGAGAGAGAGAGAGAGAGAGAGAGAGAGAGTGTATACATTTTTTTAAAATAAAGAACTGTTGTGAAATTTTGAATATTTCATTTTTTATATCAGATGTATAAGAAAAGTATGTTTGGCCATTTTTAATATTGTAGTTTCATTTTCACTGTGCAGAATTGTACATTTGATATTTGCTATTTAATCTCACCTGGAGAACTAATGAGCAGATTTTTTTCTTTCTCCTTCCATTTCTTGTGTGGCCACTCTAAAGAATGAAATACACAGAAAATGAAACGGGAGTGAGACAGAGAGTAGTGGCTAAGATTTGACAGTGCAAACTCTGAGCAGCCACAGGCTGCCTGCCATCCATGGCTGCGAGGGCAAGCCTGTCGAAGAAGAGGAGCACAGCAAGATTGCAGAGTGGGCAGTCGCCCACGTGCTGCGGAGTTCATGGGCTCAACTGATTGGCTGGGACATACCAAAATGGACTAAGAAGGTAAGGCTCAATTAAAGGGGAGGCTGCCAGACCTGAAAGAGGATGTGTTCTCCGTTGGTGGTTCCACTTCTCTTACAGTGGGGAGGGGGCAGGCATTCAGCTGTCTGTTGGGCAGCAACTGTTGTTACACGCAAGACACACACTCAGCACACATATCCCTAAATAAATGCAACCTGCTCAGTCTGTATAATGTTACTTGTGTGTGTGTTCTCGGGGCTGACTGTGGTGTAGGTAACCAGTTGGTGTCTAGGGAAGACTTATTTCTCCAACTCACAGCATCCTTAATTCTTTATGTGCCTGTAATTCTTTATGTAGGCTTGAGGACTCCTAGGCTTTCCAGGAATTTGAAAGAGCAAGGAGGAGTGTATGAGAGGGCTTGGAGGGAAAAAGAGAGGGGAGAAATGATACATTACCTCAAAAAGAAATAGTAAGAGATAACTTTCAAAAATAAATATATCCAGGGGGTTTTGAGCCTGCATGACCATAATTGGCTCCAATTAAAACCGGGGATAACTCCCACCTCTGTCAGAACTATCTTTTTAAAAAGCAAAAACAAACTATCTCAAAAAGGAAAACTAAGCTAGGCACTCCTGTTGCAATCTATTGATGTAGTCTATAGACTGGGTTAAACGATGGGAAATCTGAAGCTCAGCAGGGAGCGGCAGGGCTGTGATGGAGTTGAAGTGCATTCCCTGGGGGTGAGGAAACACTTGCAGCATGGGGGGGGGACCTCTGTAAAGGAGAGGGGGCACACAGAAAGCTGAAAATCTAGTCTCTAGGGCTGGGGGTTCCGAAGCCTTTGAAGACTTGCCCTCCCCTACTTAGGGTTGGTCAGTTTGGAGACAGGATGGTAGGTTGGTCCTAACTGTTCTAGTCCTCATCTGGCCTTGAACTTGAGCCTGCCCATCTGCAGAGGACCTGCTGGTGGGAGACAAAAGCTGTCAGGGTTTTGTCTGAAGTCCAGAGATTGAGGAAAAAGCTGGCCATCTTGGAAATTTGCCACCTTTATTACTCAGCCATGGCGCCTTTCCCTATCTGCCTCCCAGGGAGTCTAACTCCTAATCTCTCTGGCTCTTAACATTAAAAGGCAGGAAACAAGAGACAAAGGAAATGAGTATAGTGAACCAAGAGTGATAAGGTCATTTAGTCGAGTGGACAAATGCCCTCCTTTTATAGCCGCTCTTTGGGCTCCTTCACTTTTCTGGTCTCAGCATAAAAGTTTGTCTACGGTCCTCCCAAAGTTAGCCTCACCAAAGTTAGCCTCTCCCAATCAACTATATCACCCTGTTCATTTCCCTAACAGTATTTATCAGCATCTGTCCAGTGTATTTCCATGTGGTCAGTGCCCGCCAGTAAATAGCACCATAGTTAATCTGAAGCTATTCTGTAGCCAGAGCACACCCAAAGTATCCAGTATGTATGTATCATGTGAATGAATCACTGCCATAAAGCCTAAACTGTGGCACATAGACCAACCACACTGCCTGTGGCCAGATCTCTAATCCAAAGCAGTACAAATGAAAGTCCAGGTTGACCCAGGAGTTTGCTTGATATTGAAGATTCCATTTGTCATGCATACCTCTACCCTCGTTTTCCGTCCTGACAACTTGTTTTGGGGAAGTAAGAAGAGAGAAAGAATGTCCCTGTTAGCATTGTTGGGCTGTTTCACGCCAGATGTTTCCCTGTGCTAAGTAGCACCTGCCTCAGCAAAACCGTAAGAGTGTATATAGTTTCAGAAGGGAGGTTTGATCGTCGTTAGCGTTGCTCTTTTGCTTCGAGCAGGTTAGTTAGTAGTCATGATTGTTCCTGCCATGACCCCTGCTGTCCTAAGAGCAGCTTCAGCTGCCGCCGGTGTCTAGCAAGGCCTTGAGAAATCCCCAAGGGGGCGGTGGAGCATTGTGCTGTGTCAGGTCCAAGATCTTGCATCGCCTGCCCTGAGGCATCCAATGAAGGAAGTTAGAAACTTCTGTGCCTTGGAGATCCAGACCCACTGAGCATCCTGCTCCAGGTGAGGTGACTTCAGTCCTGGCTGCTCGCCTCCACTTGGGTGCATCGTGGTGGGTGATTCGACGCCCGCCAAGCCAAGAAACCGACAGGACGTTTTCCATTTCTCTCCGGGGTATCGGAGGCTTTCAGAACTCACGGCACCAACCAGATCAACCTGCGAGCGCCAGGAGCTGCTCCGAGAGGAGCTTGCATCCCGGCGTCCGCAGGGACCCAGAGGCCTCGGCCGCTCGGGCCGGCGCCTGCGTCTCTATGGTGCGGCCGAGGGGCGGAGCGCTGCTGGCTCGCCAGCCGACTGCGAAGCGAGCAGGGTATGGCTGAGCTGGGGCGGAAGGGAGGACGGGGACGGCCGGGAGGACGGGGCCGGGGCTGGGGCCGGAGGGCGGCGGGCACTCAGCACTCAAGGGGAGCCGGGAACGGACGAGGCTTAGGCGGACCGGGGCCGCGGGCGGGCGGGCGGGCAGGGCCATCGGCCTCCGCCTCCTCCCTCTCCCGCCCTCCCGGCCCCTGGACGTTGCTTCCCGGGGCTCTGAGCTCTTTTCCCTGCACGGAGCGGGAAGCCGCTGCGCGTCCAGGCAGAAGAGCACGCTGCCACCCTTTTCTGAGAAGGACAGCCCAGTGAAGCGCCCCGGGTTAGCTCGTCCTGCAAGCACTAAAGGCTTCCTGTCCCCGCTTGACATTCTAAAACTTACTGGGTCACACGGACTTAAGGAACCGGCGGAGACTAGAAGCATGTTGGAAATGCATAATCGTGTACTTTATTCATTCGCAGTCGTTACAAGCGCTGAATATTTTACCTGCAGAGAGAGAAGGGATGGCCTTAGAGTCACGGTGAAGTGAACAAGATCTGTGTTCATTTCCCTTAGTGACATCTGCTTTTGGCATTTTAGCACTTAAGAATTGAAATGAGTTAACTGTACAGCAACTTTAGTTCCATGAGGAGAACTTATTTGTAGAGCCTAATAAAGGCAGTTTGGGGCAGGGCATGCTTTTGTTTGTTGTTAGGGTTTTGTTTGGTTGTTTGTTTTTTGAGACATGGGCTCATGGTGTCCTCCATGTTGGTCTGGGAATCCCTGAACTCAAGTGAGCTTCAGCTTCAGCCTCCTGAGTGCTCTCGGTTTTGCGCTTTCCCCCAAGGTTAGGGAGATGGAGGTAAAGAGCACATGGCATTTACATTGGGAATGTCTCATTTGTTTGTACAGAAATGTACAACTATATAATTTTAAAAGCCCAGCTAATATGTGTGAAATTGTGGGAAGGGAGATAACCATTTTGCTTGCTGGGAAGTCCCCATAGTTGGTGACGTTTACTATAATGAGGATGAAATTAAACAAATTTAGACCATTTAAAAAAAAAAAGTGGCTTCTTGAAGCCGCAGAAAAATTGGATGATTGGCTCTTATGGCTCTTATGTTTAGCTTGTTGGCTGAGGGATGGTATGTCGCTTGGTTAGTGCTGCCGACCTAACATCCTGGGTTCAATCCCTTTTGGAATACATACAATTAATAAAATGTTGTGTGATATCTTAAATATAATTTGTAGTATAACAAAGATAGTTTTCCACTTTTTACATGGATAATGGGTACAACTTGGCTTCCTCCCAGGCTTCCAGGCTTGTACAACAAATTCATTTACTCACTGAGCCAGGCTACCAATCTGAAGTGTTTTCATATTGAGGATAATATGATAGATTTTCTTCTTCTTCTTCTTCTTCTTCTTCTTCTTCTTCTTCTTCTTCTTCTTCTTCTTCTTCTTCTTCTTCTTTTCTTCCTTTTCTTCCTTTTCTTCCTCCTCCTCCTTCTCCTCTTCCTCTTCTCCTTCTTCTTCCTTTTCTTTAGGACACAGTCTTACTATGTAACCCTGACTAGCCTCAAACTATATAGCCCAGGCTGACCTCTTAACACAGAGATTTGCCTGCTTTAGCTTCCTGAGTGCTGGGATTAAAAGTGTGAGCCACTAACACACAACTGAAATGTTTTTCTCTTTGTCCCAGTATGTGTTTGTCTCTTTAAGACAGAGCTCTTAAAATTCAGGATCGTTGCTAAGGTACCATGACTTAGCTATGTTTGGAATCTTACAGTTGTGTTTGTTTTCTCTAAGAGCTCTGTGTTATTCCACAGTAATACACTTAAAAGTGGGTGAGATGCCATTTCTCATTCTTTTGCAAATATCTTTATTATTGAGGCAGGATCTCTCTGTGTAGCCATGTCTAGGCTGGAACTTTCTGTGTAGATCAGGCTGGCCTTGAACTCACAAAGATCCACTTGCCTCTACCTCCCAAGTGCTGGGCTTGCAGGCATTCATTACCACATTCAGCACTGCAAATAAAAAAAAAAAGAGAGAAGGAGGGAGGGATGAAGGAAGGAAGGAAGGAAGGAAGGAAGGAAGGAAGGAAGGAAGGAAGGAAAAAAGAAAGGAAAAATAAACTGGAAGGATTGTGATGTTACATTGTTTATGATTTAATAAAGCTTGTTTGGGCATCAGCATGCAAAACCAGCCACACTAGTTAGCCATAGAAGCTGGGCAATGGTGGCACACCTTTAACCTTTAATCCCAGGACTCAGGAGGCAGAGACAGAGGGATCTCTATGAGTTTAAGGCCACCCAGGGCTTCAAGAAATGAATCAGTCTAAAAGTAACAGAGCTCACACCTTTAATCCCAGCGCTGAGAGAGGTTTATAAGGAAGAAGCAAGGGGTCTCATTAGAGATTCAGTTAACAGTCACAGGAAGACAGGATCTCCATTTTAGCCTTGGTAGAGTTAAAAGCTACTAAGGTCTGGCTGCTTTGCTTCTCTGATCCTCACAGCTTGAACCCCAATACCTGTCTCTGGGTTTATTATTCATGCTACAAACCATTTTTCTCTTTGAAGGAATTATATTATCTTTCAGTGCCTAACTTTTTGTCTTTTTTCTTTCTCCCTGAGCCTTTGGGAAACTTCTTAAAGTGTTCCTATTTACTTGCCTTGTCTTTGGAAGTGCCCATCTACTATACATTGCTTCTATTGACTTGAATTAGGTGATCTGTTTTTTTTTTCTTCTCTATAATCTATTTTTCTTCAGATTGTCACTTTTCCACCAAAAAAAAACTGCTATTTTTAATACCAATAAAGCACACTGTACTAACTTCATCTTATATCGTTGTTGTAATATAATTGATATGTAATTAAATCTAAATACTTAAAGTACACAGTTCAGCATGATTTGACATATACAAAACTATCATAAGTAACTGAATGTGGGGATTCTTTGCTCTTCAACCTTCCCTGCAGCCCCCAGCCAATCAGCCCTTGATCTGCTTTTTCTCAATATCAACTAGGTTGCACGTTCTGGAATTTTGCTAGATTCTTTTTTAAAACATTTCTAAGTGAAGATGTCAAACACACAGAACAGGAGAAAACAGCATGAAGAACGAGTCTATTCACTCATACAGGAGGCTGGTTAAGAGCACTGGCCGCTGCTCTTGCAGGGGACTCAGGTTCAATTCCCAGCACCCACACGGCAGCTCACTCCAGTCCCAAGGGATCCCATACCCTCTTCTGCCCGCACGCTGCAAGTAATGCATGCAGGCGGTGCACATTCACAACACCCACACAAATAAAATAAAAATGTTAAAAACCAGATTGATACAGTATCGAAACGTTTGACAAATAGATTGTTTCAGTACCCTGTGCCAGGTTAAAACTCAGTGCAGAATTATGCTTGCCTTTGCATATAAGCTAAAGCTTCTGGGTTTGTTGTTGCTGTGCCAAGCACTAGATAAAAGGGGTGTTTGTTTGGGAGATGGTCAGAGTAGCTCTTAGAAGTAAAGAGTAGGCTGCAGAAACCAGGGCATCTCTGAAAACCTTGGGCACTGAAGCCAAGGGTTTGATGTCTTCATCATTAGCTTTTTGTATTTGTGTCTCTTTGAGATATTTTTCTTTAAGACAAAGTCTCTCTGTGTAGACCAGGCTGGCCCAAAATCCAGAGGGATCCACCTGTCCCTGCCTGCAGAATGCTGGGATTAAGGGCCTCTCTAGGACTTTCTTGTCCTCAGCTGCTTTGTGTCTTGGAGCCTGCGGCCTCCAAGAGGACCATTTCACATGGGGTTTGCTTAGGAGAAGGAAGCTAGCTGGTGGGCTTAGCTTGGGTGACCCTCTGCACTACATTAGAGGCAGGGAACTCTAACTGAACAGCTTTGCAGTTTAGGTACATAGGGTCAAGCAGTTTTCCCAAGGGGAAAAGACGTGTTTAAGGAAAAAGGTTTAGGTATTTATTTTATTTGTATGTGTGTGCCAAGTGTGTGCATAATGTACTGTGTGCATGCAGGTATCCAGAGAAGCTGAAGGTACTCAATCCCCCAGAACAGGAATTACAGGCAGTTATGAGTAGCCCATTGTAAGTGTTCCACGGCCTCTGAAAGAGCAGTAACTTCTGTTACACTGAGCCATCTCTCCAGGCATGAAAGGAGACTTTTTTTTTTTTTTTTCTCAAAAGCACAGAAGCAGTTGTTGGGTTTACTGATACAATGAACGCCCACTGTCATATTGTGTACATTCTGATAGCTATTTAAATGCCTGGCTGGAATAAATAACATTCAATGGGCTTCCTGAAATTCTCCTTGGTACCACATAAACTGTTTTTTCTGCAAAACTGACTTACAATTTTGACCATGCAACATATTGTGTACCATGTAAAGACTATTTTTTTTTCCAATTTGGTTTTATAATTATGACTGATGTTGTTTGTTTAAATATTATGTGACAGTCTATAACTAACCTTCATTCTTTTGTTTGTTTTGTTTTGTTTTTATTTTAGGATAATGGGGATGAAGGCAACAAGAATAGACTGCTGGTCCCTGATGGCTTTTACTATATACTGACACAGTTTATAATGGCATCCAAAGTTGAAAAGACTCAGGCTTTGCAACAGTGTTTTAGCACAGAGTCTCTCATTTCCAGCCTTGGTTTGGGGATCTTTTGCCTAGTAGCTGACAGACTTCTCCGGTTTTCGATAATTCACCAAAACGATTGGCTTCGTGCCCTCTCAGATAACATAGTACATGGCGTGATTGGCATGTGGTCATGGGCAGTTGTCACTGGAATCAAGAAGAAGGCTGACTTTGGAGAAGTTCTCTTAGCTGGGTTTTTAGCCTCTGTTATTGATATCGACCATTTTTTTCTCGCCCGATCCCTATCTTTAAAGGTAAGACATGGATATAAGTTTTTTGGCTTCAATGTCTTTAGCACTGCCTTGTTGGTTTTCTCAGCCGTCATACACGCTAGAGAGAATGCCTTACTGTAAAATAGGAATGCTAATTCGTTCAACTTTTTTGAGTTCCTAAGGATTCACACAGACACTCTGCTAATCAAATTTGCTGTCGCGAAGTCCCATATAGACATAAAGTAAGAACTGTTAACTGTACTGAGAAGTCCAGTGCTGGCTCCCAGAGAATGTGTTAACAGACTGCTGGAAATGCACAGCTGTCGTTGCTGTGTTGCTGAGATTTTCAATGGCACACTTGCATCTCTCCTCTTACTCTATGTCTTCCAGTGTGCCATTAATTGACTAGGCTTCTAACTGTTCTCACCCCTGGGGAATGACTCCAGTGGTTTAACTCCCCCAGTCTCTCTTGTGGCCAACAATCTGAATTTCAGCAGGCTGGCTGCAGTCTCCACCACTGCGTGGTGGAGAAACTAAACATTTCATCGAGGCATCCAAGTTTTTAGTTTTGTGATGACCAGCCTTGCAAATTTAAACTAAACTTAAAATGATATCTCAGTTGATATTTTCTAGATCCTATATTTTCTAAGTATCAAAAGTTTTTCCTGCCTTTTTATATGCCTATGATTTACAAACATTCCAGAAAAGAAGTACAGATTCCAAACAAAGCTTTTGCCTTGTTAGCCACAGGCCCCAGGAAGGTACCTGGCGTGCCCAGCCCGGCAGGTGTTCAGGAAGTATTTGCTGAGCGGTGGTAAAGCCTTACTTCTTCCTGCTTGTCACACCTGAAGGGGGTATCAGGGTTGTCTGACTCTGAAGCTCAGTTGGGAAGGAGGGATAACTGCTGGTTTGAGACAAATCTTATCTTTCTTCCCTCGAAGTGACGGCAACATAAGGTTAAAATTCTATTCCCTCAGCTTCAGCATAGGGAATAATAAAATAATAACTTATAATAATCTTTCAGTGTTGGTGGTAAATTCTGGAAGTAGTCATGGCTGTTATTGAAACAATAATAATAATGAAAAAAATACTTTCCCTTTTCCCTGCATTAATGAAGGAATATTTTTTTTGGTGTGTGTGTGTGTGTGTGTGTGTGTGTGTGTGTGTATACTTTTAGATGTCTCAAGAAGTTCTTTAAAAACACAAATTATAGGGATGGAGCAAAGGTGAGTTATTGGACATGAAGACAAACTACTATAGCACTGTAGTTGACAACTAATGTCTGTTTCAGAAGAGCTGGTGAAGGGGAATCGTATTCTCAACACACAGGAACAATTGATAGCTATTGAAGTCATAGATATTTCTCTGACTCTAATATGACCCCCCACACACACATCATATACATGTCCTTTTTTTTTTGTTTGTTTGCCTTTTGTCTTTTTTGAGACAGGGTTTCTCTGTGTAACAGCTGTGACTGTCCTGGAACTCACTCTCTAGACCAGGCTGGCCTTGAACTCACAGAGATCTTCCTGCCTCTGCCTCCCAAGTGCTGGGATTAAAGGTGTGCACCCTCCCCCTCCATTGTACTTCTTAAACAAGTGAAAATATTATTTGTCGATTAGAAACTTCAAAATAGGGCTAGAGAGATGGCTCATCGGTTGCTCTTCCCAAGGACCTGGTTCAGTTTCCCCCCATGTATCCCCAACTCCAGGAGATACAATGCCCTTTTCTGGCCTCAAGGTCAACTACATGCTTATACACATACCTACACACAGATAGAAACACATAAATGAAATTTTTAAAAAAAAAAATCTCAGGAAGAAAACTTTAAAATATGGCTGATAAGGTGGCTCAGCAAGTAAATGTAAATATGCGTAATAAATAGGAATGTTTTTAGTTTCAAATATTATTTAAACCCCAGTTATACAAATCTCATACTCAGGATATAAATTATGTTTACGACATTTTAAGCAAATACTAGGAAACTTGTAAAATTAATACAATAGTCCTTTTAAAAATTATTTGTTATGTATGCAGTACTCTGTCTACATGTTTGCCTGCACACCCGAAGAAAGCATCAGGTCTCGTGATAGATGGTTATAAATTGCCATGTGGTTGCTGGGAATTGAAAACTTATTTTACTGTAGACTACCATAGAGAGTGACGAGAGGTATTGACCTGAGGACCATGTGTCCGGTGTATCTGCAATGTTACGTTTTCCTTGCATTTCCAGTTGACACCGGGCATGTTAAAAGATTAAGGGGCCAGCTGTGAGATTTTGCAAAGAAGGAAATGATGCTAGCTGCTCCTTCCTCCCCCAGGCTGCCCTGACCCTTCCGAGAAGACCTTTCCTGCACTGTTCCACCGTGATCCCCGTCGCAGTTGTGAGTGTGAAGATCGCCATGCACTTGCTCAGGCTCAGAGACTCATGGTGCTTCCTGCCGTGGATGTTATTCATTTCCTGGGCTTCGCACCATATCCGAGATGGAATTCGTCATGGCCTGTGGATATGCCCATTTGGGAAAACTTCTCCTTTGCCCTTCTGGCTTTATGTGATAACCACATTATCCTTACCACATATGTGTTCATTCCTCATGTATTTAACAGGGACCAGGCAAATGATGTCTTCAAAACACAGGATGCGTATTGATGTCTGAGGTAGATGACCATATGGCCCTAAGGATAGGAAATAAATAGATCACATGAAGGTAAAGAAAGACAGCCAGTGTTCAAGTGAAATTGTTTTTGTTTCTGTTGAGACAGGGTCTCTCTGTGCAGCCCTGGCTATTCTAGAACTCCCTCTGAAGATGAGGCTGGCCTCAAGCTCAGAGACCCACCTGCTTCTGCTGGGATTAAAGGCCTGCGCCACCACCACCGGGCCTCAAGTGAAATTTGTAAAGCCCAGTTAGGTACTTTATTTAGTTTTTATAATTCTCGGCCCTCTTGCTCAGGACTCACGCCCAGTGCTTGCCCTTCCCTCTCACGTGTCCATCTAGTGCAGTATTGGGTTTGCCCTCATCTCATGGATGCTGCTTTATCTGACTTACTGGTTTTGTCACGTTAATATCGATTGAATTGTCTGGAAGTCTCTCTTCAAAACCAATCCTTTTCCTGATCAAAAACCTCAAAATTTAGGGTGACTGGTTTATAGAAAACTCACATTATATTTGGATTCACATTTTCCTGAGATACCAAAATAGTGGAGTGGGCAGAATAAATCATACCGTGATGAGAGGTATGATGAGAGCTGACAGTCATTTCATAGATGTTATGTTGATCCTGACGGAGGCAATAATCTTAAATGTCTTGTGCACAGTGATTATTGGCAAAAATCTATCTAAAATAATAGTTACTATTTTAAATAATAAAATCTAAGTTATGATTTCAGAAATCAATTTAGGAAGTAATTGTTATCACATGTTACCTATAATCACATTCACTGAAACTTATGAGTGTTGGGGTAGGGATGGGGACCAGTGTCTTTGCCCAGGAATCTCGTGTTAGAATTTTCACTAATTCAAAAAACATAACTGAAAGCTTAAAAAATATTTATTAACAAAGAGCATTGATAAAATCATATCTGGGTCATCACTGAACTTATATAGAAACAGTTCTGAGTAATGTCGTCTTTTCAGATGCGGATTCCTGGCAGTCACTGACATCGCAATAGTTGTGAGGCGGTTACAAGCTAGTCTAAAGGACTGTGTGAAATGATTTTCTAAAAATCTTCTCTGTACTGAGAACTGAAGCGTTGTCAAGGCAAAGTAGTTTTTGGAAATCTTGCTTTTTCTTTTGGTCTTTCAGATTCCACTGTCAAAATGATTTACCTTTGCTAGAGAAGGAAGTGCATTGCTGTAAATTCTACATTTGCAGTTTGATACTCCCGTGGTCTACCCAAGAGGCTCCTCTCTGTCTTTGTGGCATATGTGATTCCTGTTTTCTTCAGATTTGGTGTTACACTTGTGATTTGTAATGGTACAACTGTGTGCCTTATTCTCTGAGGAAAAGTAGACGACTAGGAGCATGGCGTTTGGAACCAGGCTTCTGGCTTTACAGAGAGTTCTGTACATTGTTAGAAGGGTTCATGATCTTTGGAGAGTATTTTTCTTATTGTTAAATTAAATTCTTTGCAATCTGTTACTTTACATGGCCTAGATCTTATAACCTATTACCTTTCAACCTTTCAAGAGCAACTGTCAATTTGGTTGGTATGATAGTAAATACTACATAAGGAATAAATTTAATTAAATTTATTTTTAAACATCTGGCTTAGATCCATGAAAATGAAGTCTATATCTTACGTAAATTTTTCTAAGTTGTAAAACCACTTGTATTTTTTTTTCTCTCTTCATATTAAACATAAGATCATCATTAAAATAGCGAGCTCCATGGCAGCCAGGACTACGTAGAGAGTTATCTCAAAAACAAAGAAACAAACAAACAAACCACCACCAACAAAAAAGAGACCTTGAAGGATGTCACCTTGGCGTGTTGGGAGTCATCTCTCTTTCGTTAGAAAGAAAATTCATTTAGACCATCATTTCTTCCTCAAATAATAACTAAAGTGTTGGGATGGTTTACGGTAGTTCCCACCTCCACCCTCAGAAATGTCCCTTCTTTCCATGAATGCCATGGCTATGGCCTCTAAAACACTGACAGCCAGGAGCCCTCTCTCCAAACCACCCCTCTCTTCTTGGTCCTGCGGACACAGGAAGTTTGTGAACGCACCTTTTCTTGTTGGCCTGTGTGTCTTCTTTATCGTCTCCCCGTCTTCTGTACACTGACTTTTCTCTCCTCACTGGTCCATCCTCCAAAGGCTGCTCTTGAGCTCCTCAGGCTGCTGTTCATGCAGCAGCTTATTCCTGCTGGCTTCAGGGAAACACCACCACTGCACTGTCCACCCATCCACTCTTCCCCTCATCTTGCCAACTGGTACCAGATCAGTTTTCAGAGAGGACCTGGTGGAAACCCTGCATGAGCAGAAGAGAGCCGGCTGCACAGGCATGCCCAACTTTTGAAGGTTTGTATTCTCCAAGCCCCAAAGCCAAGGGTGTTTTCATCCAGGTCCATGTACATTTGTGAGAGGACACACACACAAACACACACACACATCGGAAACATGATCTCACTGTGTAACACAACCTAGACTGGACTGGAAAAGCAATTACTCCTTCCTCAGCCTCTGAGTGCTGGAATAATAAGCTTGAAAAGTCATGCCTGGCTTGGACTTATTTTTACACTGGGAGTTTCAGTTGATAGACTTTGTCTCTTAAAGCTACAAAATGATGACTAAGGTCATTCAGTTCTGTGTTCCCCCTTCAAATCAGACAAGCCCCAGGATAGTTGGTCATACTTTTACACAAGTTTAAAGAATAACCTCAGTACTTTATGCCTCTTATATCCTATTATAAATAAAGCAACCCTTTATGCCATATTATTCATAAAAAATCTGAATATACAAAGTCTGATTTATATAACAGAGCTGTAATGTTCATTGGGACCTTGCGTAATTTTATGGCAACTAGGCAAACACTGTGATGATAAAGTGACACTCAAACTTCTGCGTCTGAAGTTCCGTAAAAGCCTTTAGATATGGCTACTGTACTTTAGTGTGGTGGCCTTTTAAGTATGGATAATTACATATGTCGCTGTGCATAGTAAATGTTCCCTTAAAGGTAGATTTGTCAGCCTACCACTGTCTAATAATCCCATCTATAATCAGGTAATAAAATGTAAATACAATGAGCGGTGAGCCCACAAATTAGAAATTAGCAACATTTCTAACATGGTGGTTGGTGTGCGGGTCTCTCGTGGATGGCTGGTTTCAGGGTCAGCTGCAGAGAGGTAGCACTTGAGAACTGTGCTAGCTTCTTCCCTACAGGCATAGATAGTAGGGTCTCACTGGAAGTGCTCAGGACTGAAATCCGTTGTGTGTGCTCCTCTGGCAAGCAGTGCCCACCACCACTCTGTATCATTTACGCCTCTTCTAGATGCCAGTGTACATGAGCGTAGGGCAGAGAGAATTTATCAGCTCCTACTTTTCCTGTGTCTGATGTCTCTTAATGAAGCACATGCTGAACTTAATTCTGGTGAAGTCTGCAAACCTGGGAAGAGGCGAATGTGGATGCCATTCTAAAATAGATGCAGAAATACTGTGTGGCTGGGCTGGAGAGATGGCTCACAACCAAAAACATAAGAAATACTGTGTGGCTGGGATAGTTTTTACTTCTCAGTTACAGCAGGAAGGGTTTATTCCAAATATTGTACTACGTTACAGAAACAATCATCTAAAGGGAAATCAAGTAGTTGATGGTGCTCATCTCTGGAGTTAGTAGGTCAGAGAAGTCATGAGGAATGTCTACCCATATAGCATGCTTTACAGTATTCAGTAAGGGCATTTCCACCTCTTACCATAAGTGCAATTTCATGCTATGGATATTTGGCCTGCCCTCATCACCTGACTCCCCAAACTCAGACACTGGACAGACAGCTTTGATCAGCTCTTGTTGCCCCTTGGGTTCAATGCCTCAGTTGTACGAATACATATACCACTATTTAACATATTATTTCATCAGCCTCTGGCAATACACCAAGGTGCCCCAAGTCAGGAAGTCGATGGCAATTTCATTGATCTGAGAAATCCCCTTGTTATTATCATTTATTTTCATATCTTAAAAGATAAAACTTGAGCCAGGAAGTTTTGGCTCATGCCGTTAATCCCAGCACTTGGGAGGCAGAGGCAGGTGGGTCTCTGTGAGTTGGAGGCCAGCCTGGTCTACAGAGCAAGTTCCAGGACAGGTTCCCAAGCCACAGAGAAACCCTGACCAGAAAAACAAAAAAAGATAAAACTTGAAGACCAGGCATGGTGGCCCGTGCCTTTAATCCCAGCACTTGCTAGAAAGAGGCAGACGGATCTCTGTGCGTTCAAGGCCAGGCTCATCAACATAGTTCGGGCCAAATTTCAAGATAAAACTTGAAACAGTTATAGGTTTTTATCCTATTCTGTTGAGGGTGTGACTGTTTCTTCACATACAAGGGAAGACTTCACGTGTATTTATTTGAGGCCCAGCACAGAGTTCAGGCAGCAGAACCCCAACTTAGCAGATCTCATTTCAAACTTGACACTTGTTTTTCAAATCACCACAGAAAAGAGGAACAAACACCCACTGCTAATGAACGAACTATGACAGTGTTCTTTGACAAGAGAATAACCAACTTCCATGGTGAAGCTGCACTTCAAATAATTTAATTCCAGGGCATTGTCATCGGTATCCCCCTAGTATTTATTTCTTCCTTGCTCTCTTTCTTCCATCCTTCCTTCCTTCCTTTCTTTCTTTTTATTTGGGGGGGGAGGGGTGGGAGACAGGGTTTTCTGACAGGCCTTGGCTGTCCTAGAACTTGCTTTGTAGACCAAGCTGGCCTCTGCCTCCCGACTGCTGGGATTAAAGGTGTGTGTCACCACTGTCCAGTTCCCCTGGTACTTCTTTACTCCTCAGGAATAACGATAATGATGGAAAAAGTCTATAAACATTTTATGCTTCACTTTGCAAGACACTGAGTCTGCCTCACAGGACTGTTAGCAATGTTGGCAGTCCAGTCTATAACCCCAGAGCTGCCTGAATAGTAGGGGAAGGTCAGATGGAGTCCAGCATCACCATGAGGAGGGTGGTCCTCTTTGGATCTCTGCAGAAGCTTTCAAAGGAAACCTTCCTGAGGTCACAGACCTTTCTCCATGCTCATTCGACTTGATCTGAAGCCTTCTTGTGTTCCCGAGTCAGAATAGTGACGTCATGCACAGGAAGCAAAGGAAGGTCACTTGATTGACACTAAATGTAGCCTAAAAAGTAGGGTAGTTGCTAGATAACAATCTCTCTCTCTCTCTCTCTCTCTCTCTCTCTCTCTCTCTCTCTGTGTGTGTGTGTGTGTGTGTGTGTGTGTGTGTAAAACAGTGGTAAAGTACTTGTGATACTATAAAAGCCCCTTGTGTGTGCAGAAGTTCCATTAGCACAGTCCTGTGTAAATACTACAGTTCATTCTGCCTGCTCTTCACAGCTATGCTTCACAGTATGCTTGTTTGTTTGTTGTTTGTTTCACAGTAGTCTAGGTGTTGAACCTGGCTCCCCAATGTATCAGGGACCCTGGTGTTTCCCTACCCTCTAACCTGACAGGGACAGTTGCAACCCAGCCTCCACAGAAGGTGGCTCGGGCTGCAGGCCAACTCTTCTGGAAAGAGCCCAGCCTGCCTAGGTTGCACCATTCAGAGCATATCACTGGGCAAGCTCTCCACTTCCTTCTTAACATGGCAGTTCTAGTGAACTCGAGAGAGTCGACCCTGGGACCTTAGAAAGGGTAAAATGACAACGGGGTGAGAAGAGAACATGTTGACTTGTCTTCTGGGGCATGTAGGTCCTGTGTGCGTGTGTGTGTGCGTGTGTGTGTGTGTGCGTGTGTGTGTGTGTGTGTGTGTGCGTGTGTGTGTGTGTGCGCGCATGTGTGTGTGCGTGCGTGTATGTGTGTGCGTGTGTGTGTGTGTGTGTGTTTTCAAGGATTACAAACACTCACCACTATGCTTGGCTAAGAAGTATCTGTAAGCCTTTATCTCTGAATTACCTGTTTATACGTAGAGCCGGTTTCTTCTTTCCCATGGACATAAAGATGTTCTTATATACCTGTACCATTTTGCCTTTTGTCTGAGGTTTACCCCCCCCCCCATAGTACAGGAGTGGAATGGCGTGAGCTTTTCCTGCTCATCATAGTCAAAGCCAACACTCCATAGCAAGAGACAGGTCAACAAGACAAGCACCAGTTACTAGTCAGTTTCAGAAGAACGTCCACACCGGAAACCTCAGACACTAAGCAAACCATTCATTTCTATGCCTAGCTTCCCAGCAGCACAGTCTTGAGCTGTAGCCGATGCTGACCATCCAGAAGGAGTGTATCTAACTAACACTGACCATCCAGAAGGAATGTATCTAACTAACGCTGACCATCCAGAAGGAGTGGATCTAACACTGACCATCCAGAAGGAATGTGTCTAACTAACACTGACCATCCAGAAGGAGTGTATCTATCTAACACTGACCATTCAGAAGGAATGTATCTAACTAACGCTGACTATCCAGAAGGAGTGGATCTAACACTGACC